TGTTGGTATATATATTTGGCACATTTCTTAAGAAAGCACGAGGGAATCATATCTGGGCCGTAATTGTATGATTGTTCTAATATATTTAACTGATATAAAACGTCTGCTTCGGAAATGGTAGGTGCATTAATCGGACATAGCTTGTGCTGATTCGGAAAATTTTTGGGAGATTTTTGAGAGTAATTGGACCTAAGAATTCCGCGAACATATTAGAAATAGACTTATAGAATAGACTTATATTTCATAGCAGACGGAAAATTAGAAATCCTGCGTTTGGAGTTGACGAAACCATAGAACAATTTTGGATTACGTATAATACTATTTTTAACTTTTTTTATATAATTATTATAACTTATTTTGTTAAGTTCAGCAAATTTTTCTTAAAAAGTTTAAAAACACGAGATTTTCTATTTTTTAATTTACATAATTCTTTCGAAAACCATAAATTAGAACTCATTTTATGAGTAACAACACACTATGGAACAGATTTTTTGAATAAGTTTAAAATAGTTTCATTAAAGAGGGAAGCCCTAAATTCAATGTTGCCATTGTAATCTARYCAAGTAACTTTAGAAAGTTCGTGATTAATTTTCTTAAAATTAGCTTTCGCAAAGTTGAACCGAAAACAATGGTGTTGTGTATTATTGTGAGCAAAGTTGGCTATGGTTTCCATGTTAATTTCCAAGGCAGGATCATACGAGTCCTCTGGCTGAACCAAAGGGTTACATCGGACAACAAAGAACATTGAAGCCACACTCGCAAAAATCTACTACAAATTAGGCACTTGGTACGGGTTGCCCCTAAATATTCTACTACAAATTAGGCACTTGGTTCGGGTTGCCCCCAAATATTCTGCTACTAATTAGTCACTTGGTACGGGTTGTCCCCAAATATTCGACTACTAAAACGTTCAAATGCCTCAAATCTGCTATAGTGTGTTGAAGTGTTAGGTTTTAAAGTTTATAACTTTAACAATATTTTTATAAAATATTCAAATATTTTTCGATTATTCAAATTCCTGAATATTAAATTTAATCAGTTTTGTCCAAAATATTAATTATTGTATCAATATATTATTAAACTTCCCCAATTTTATAAAAAAATTATTTGCATAATATTTGTGTAAAAACTATGTATATGATGTGAGAATAACTCCGCAGCGTTTCTCATATCTTTTCGGACAAGTCTGGGGCATAGGATATATTCGTTGTGTAGATAAAGGGAACTGCGAACTCTTGCCAGTTGACCAGTGTGAGTCATTTTCTAATAGCTCCCTCAAAAGCGCCTACAACGACGCTTTGGTTCAAAATACCTCTTGGCAAAGTTTACCAAGACCTAAAAATTCTACCTCATTGCAAAATATACAAATCGAGGTAAACGTGGACGTAGATGAAAGCAGCTTTCTACATAAAAATACTTTTATGTRTTTTTGCTGTTATTTGTACTATAAATATTTTAAACAACATAATTGTTTAATGCCCTTGCCAAGATTTGATGCTGGTATTACTGAAGAAGATTTTTTCTTCACTTCAGAAAAGCAATATAGTAATTGAAAAATAGTAAAACCACCCCTTGAATTTATGAATTTATAGATTTTCTATCAAAAATTGAAGATAGTTATACAAAACATTTTGATTCTACTTGCCATAGGATCGGGTTTTCCAAATATTATTTGAAAAAATGGTTAACGTAGAACCGTACTATTGTTGTGACAATTGTAATTCTGATATAATAAAATGTCTATTCATTAGAATTAGAATATATTTCCTAGTAAACGCTTTTAATAAAAAAGTAAAACAAAGTGATTTCAAAAACGTAAAGTTCTTGTGTGTTACACATACATAAATAGTAATCACGTCCGTTTGTCTGTCTATATGAGTCKGAATTTACATATATGTATATATGTCTGTCAGTCTGAACTATTTTATATTTGTCAAAGATAAACTATCTGTCTAAGGTTTGTACGCTTATTATCAATATGTTTTATTTGTTTGTTAAGTGTTTTCGTGTACCAGGTATAGGACCCTTCTTTCCACCACTATTCCTTTGATAGGGTTTGTAATAAGTATTTCGCTGTGGGTGATTTAGAATATTTAGTAAATATTATTTATTACCTAGTAGATTGTTTTGAATATTGTTGTTGTTCCTGAATTGTACCTGATTTTTTATATTATTTTTTGTTTTTGTTAAAATTAACACCAGTAATCGACTGGTTTGTTAATGTATATATACAATGGAATAGTACCTAATTTTTTTATATTTATTTTGCTTTTTGTTTAAATATTTTCCAGTTGATTGTTTTGACATACATATATTGTCAATGTTATATTTTTACTGTAATTGATATTCATAATTGTACCTGACTTTATATATTTATTTTTGTCTAGTCACATTTTTTATAATAAGTAGATTGATTTAAAACAGTATATATAAAAAGGATGAAAATAGGCCTCCTGGGGAGCCGAACACCCAAAACAGATCGGTAGCGCGCCTACTTTGCAACMTCAGAGGTGGTGAGGAAGAGCAATAAACATCCAATAATCTTTTGTTTCAAAAATATTCTTGAAAGTTTTCATTAATGTTTTCCGTAACAAATACTTTTTCACAAAAAAGTTGTACTACTACATTTCTTTTAATTACATCTCTGTGCCTAAAAAAGGCAGATTTCGATCAGGTGATCTCAGCTGTGACAAATTCTTGGAAAACAGCTGATTCTTTTGTTACTTGTAGGGTTATACAATGTTGCAGACTGATTTCACTATCGCTTTGTGACAAAGTTCGTCCCATCGTAAGTGCTCGTTTTACGCTCTTGGTTTGTGCAATCCGTGTGTATACGTACACGATCACTTACCCTTTTTTAGCACCTGCTATGACTTTGCCCATCCCTGGCGATGAGCGACGAAATTAAAACATATGAAATGCCATTGAAGTGGCCACGCAGTAAGCGATGAGCGACTGAGCGATTTCTCTGCGACTGAGCGACGTCGCTTAACAATTAAAACATGTTTTAATTTTCAGTTGACTGCTGAGCGACGAACAGAAAGAATGGAGATATTTAACATTGAAATCAGATTATTTCTGAGATGCAAAACTACCCGGTTTTGTGGCAGGATAGCCATAAAGACTTCAAAAATAAAAATATTACTGACAACATATGGAAAAAAGTGGGAGAAATATGTGGTTGTTCTGGTGAGTGTTTTTTTTATTCATAAAAAAAATTGATTGTTAAAATATTAACATGATAAAATTAAAATTTTAAGTGGAATTTAATGTCTAAACTCCCACAAGTATTCTGTTAATTCATTACGTATATTTAATGCTGTTTGGCTGCTTCTGTTGAAGTTTTGCTGTTGTTCTCGATCAACGGTATTGTTGTCACTGTCGCCATCGGGCTCCCTCACAAAATTGTGCAATACACAAGCACATTTAATTAAAATAATAGCAGTTCTTGGTGTTGTTTCAATGGATTTTTGCAAAAAACGTCATTTATTGGTTAATATTCCAAATGCACATTCAATGCATTTTCTTGCTATTAAAAGTCGATAATTAGAATTTTCTGTTTTCGCATTTAAATTCCTACGTGGAAAAGGTCTTAACAAATATGTTTTCAGTGGATAAGCTTCATCACCAATCAGAAAATTAGGTAAAATAATATTTGAGTTTGGCAATGCTTGGGGAAGAGGAACATTCAATTTATCCGCTTTAAGCAATCGAAATAATGTTGTTCCAAAAAAAGTTCCGCCATCACTTTGCTTTTTTTGTCAGCATCTGCTACTAATAACATTTCAGGAGAAGCAGCAAAAGGAAAGTGGAAGAATTTAAGAGACACATACAGGAGAAATCTGCAAAAGAGTCAACCAGCAAAATTGGGCTCCGAAGCTCTTCCAGTTAAAGTTAAGTGGCCATATTATGATTTGATGGCGTTGTTCCGGATCCTATGGATGGGAATCTTTTGGAAATAGAGCAATATCAATGTTGCAATCCTAATTATTCGACTTTGATTAATGATCTACTAAGTGAAGAAGACTCTGTTTTTAAAACTGTTGATATGATTGAAACCAGCACTTCTGTTTCCACCAGTTGCTCTACAAATGTGCCACCAAAAACAAAGAGAAGAAAGGGAAGAACAAGCAAGAACAAGTTTGAATCTAAATTTCTCCAAATTGAAAAGGAGCGAATGGAAATTTTAAAAGCTGAGGTAGAAAAGAAGGAGAAGATGATGATGATCTTCAGTTTCTTAAAAGTTTCTTGCCATTTATGCGGCAGTTTAACAATATGGAAAAGTTAGAAGTGAGTGGAGAAATACAAAATATAATTTTAAACATATACCGGACATCGTTTGCCAATAATCGAGACAAACAGTAAAGTATATATGTAATATTATGTTTAACTTAAATAAATGAATAAAATTAAATTTATGTGTAACTTACCTCAAGGTCAAAACGAGCCTCTGCTCTGCACGAATTGCTTTCTTTTGTTTTGTTAATTTAGGACGAACTTTTTCAAGCAATATATCAAAAGATTGCAGAGACATACATACGTAGATATTGAAAGAATCTATCTGGAAATTTACGTAGATTTTGATATAAATGACTAAATACACCGATCCTCCATCTTGTTTGGTTTATAGGACGAACACCATACTTTCTTTTTTTTATACGTAGTAAGATTCTATAAACATGATATAATAAAGGAAAACAATGTTTTGTTCTTGCAGGTTACTTTATTAATAATGAAACAGTTCCAATCAAGGTTTACAATGAGCAAAACTTACAATTAGAATCCGAAGTGAGAGTATGGAACATTCTCCTGGTTTGTTGTTGCAATAACTTAAATCTATAATACAAAGTAATAAGCTAACAGTGAGAGAATTCGTTGCTATTGTAATTAAAGAACTTTAACTCAAATGCAATGACAAGAATGAGTTTGGACAATGACGTGAGAGATTAACTTAAGCTTAATATAAGTTGTTGGTAGTAAGGGCAATAGTATGTGACTATATCTATTTTCAAGCAGTAATATACGCTGTACAGCCCTTGACAACGGCATTTTAGCAACTAATCGCTCAACAGCAGTCGCTCAGTAAAAAGCCATACGTCGCTCAAAATCGTCGCTCAGCCGCTCATCGCTCAGTCGTTTACTACGTGGCCGCGGCCTTAGGCGGACAGTATTAGCAAAATACATATAATGTTTCAATACGGACCATATGGGTCGTAAGTGTCATGTTACATATTCATGACAGATAAAGAATATGTTCATGTAATATGAACTAGTGGTATTAGCTTGTGGCTAAATGAGCATCTGAACCCCTGCTAAAATAATAGCACTACACCCCACACATATACACCATACTCCACACATCATCCTTTCATCCCATACTACACACACCACACTCAACGCATCATCTTTTCATCCCACACTACACACAACAACTCAACGCATCATCATCTACAACACACCTTTCACACCACGCACGAGGACACCAAACACAATCAACAAAAGGGACTGGCGGACGGCGCCCACCGCTCTTTCTCATGCGATCCGTGCCCTTATACCAGCCAGTCAGTCATTCTCCCGCATCACCCCGCTTTTAGATCGTTGTTCCAACAAGTCGTCGCCAAAACAACGGGTAAGTGCCGCGAGGTCTTTTTTTATAACAAGCTCAATATGGTCCTGCGAAGCCGTACCGGACGGCAGTAGCAACAAAAAAAAAAAAAAAGGATTGATTGATTGAAGAACACAAATCGGTCACGGCAACGCGGTAACTAACTAAAAACAAAAAAAAAAAAAAAACACGTCTTGGTGAAAAACCCGGGTTTACAACGGTTGAAACAAAAAAGTGGAAAATAAACCGGAGTTTAAACAAGCTTAAAAACCAGTGGGACCGAAAAGAAAAAAAAAAATTTGTGATTAATTTCAAAACGGTTACAAAATTAACCGTTGGTGAATACATACATACAAAAAAGTGAAAAGACAACGGTGGTGAGGCGACACAGGAAAACCTTTGGTGGATACATATAGTGTAAAAACAAAAAAAAAAAAAATAAAATAAAAATAAAAGTTTAAATTGCGGAAAATAACGGTGGTGACGTGGTTTAAATAAAAGCCAACATATTTGGGAAAAATATTTTCATATCTACATACATAGTATGTATGTATTTATGTAAATACTAAGGAAAACAGAATAAACTACATTACGTGTGCATATGAGTGCTGTATAAAAATTTCAACAACCGTGAGGTGATAAAGTGCAGTGTTAAAGTTAATATACACATAATACAATACATATACGAAGGGGGAACAAAAAATTCGGTGAAGTGAGAGAGAGCAGAATAAAAGAAAAAATTAACACCTACTATATACAAACATATATATGTATGTACATATAAACGGTGATAGTGGAGTGACATATAACCTACAAACAAAAGGAAAAAAGAAATACAAACAATACAATCTACAACACCAGCAACAAAAGGACAGGAGAACTGGAGAAGCAAGCGAAGCACAAGCACAGGCACACACACAGGCATCCACACATCACATACATACGTAAACTCACAATATCCCCAAAAGCCCCTGGCGGAAAGCAAAGTGAGTTGTATCGTTTCATTTTTTATTATATGTAGAAAATTAAATTTGCGGACTGACCAAAATTCCTGTCGGAAAAGTAACTGTTTTCGGTATTCGGTTTATTTTTGGGTAAAAACCGTAAGACCCCTTATACTTAATCACTGTCTCTTATACACATCTAGATGTGTATAAGAGACAGGTATATCATACATATGTACATGCATATATGGTCCATATACCGCTATAACACACGAAGTGCATAACTTGCTCTTTTACTAATTTAACCACACCCACATCAATATACCAATATACATCAATATATATATATTTCAAATATACATATACATATATCTAATATTTCAATATTATTAAATTCTCTTTTCGCGGCTTCTTGTCGCGAACATATGTATATACATACACTTGTATATGCGGCGCGTTTATAAATATATACATATATACATAAAACCGAGTGAACTTGAGAAAATTACCTGCGGTCGGTTAATTCTCTTTTCGTGGTTTTCTTCGCACGATCACATATACATATATATATATACATGCGTATATATATATGCACATACGGGCGCACATAAATAAATATATTCAATATACTTACACTGGAAGAAATACCCAAGTACAAATTAAAAAAAAAAAAAAAAAAAAAACAAAAAAAAAAAAAAATACAACATATAAAAGAAATACATACAAAAGTAAAACGTATAAAATATTTCCGGTCAACAACCATTAATTAAATCAAATATAATCGATATTCTGTATACCCGTAATATTTTACTGGAAAACTCKTATTTACTTAAAAGAGTTCACGTCTAAACTTTCGTTCAAAAGTCTTATTTACATAGAGCTCTCATCAAATCAAATAAATACATATATATAGGAAACAGTATTTGAAATCTCGGTTTACCAAAAAGCAATTGATTTTATTGACTTTTTTGAAACTCTTACATACAAAGAGTCTTCTATTGAACATATATACACGAAACTTTTTTAAACATTTACAAGTCTAGTTCACTAAGACGTTTTGATATTCTATACATTTTTTAAATGAGCTCAGACTCAAAGGGCTCCAAACCAAGTCAGTCACTAAAAATTCCAAAAATTATTGCATGTACACCTGCTGAAGCTACACGCTCAAAGCAAGGTGCTACAARGCAAAAAAAGATTAAAGATATTTCATATACAAAATTCATTGCTGAGAGTGATAGTTTGATACGATACTGCACTCGATTTTCATCTTTGCCGATTCAAGACAATTCTGAATCGGTATTAGAAATCAAAAAAGACAATTTAGACAATTTTTGGACGCGCCTCCAAGCTGCATATGACGCAATCGTAGAATCTGATGATTCAGATCTACCAGAAAACTTTAAGTCTTCGGCTTACACCAAGTATGAGCACTGCCTAGACCAGTTCGAAGACACAAAGGCAATGATTTCTGATCAACTAAAGTTATTAAGAGCAATTGCACCTACTCCACTACAGAGAGTAGAGCTGCCACAAAGACAAGCCCAAGAGGCAAGTTCAGGCATCCACCTCAAGGTGCCCGCATGTGACACAGAAATTTTTCATGGGGGTTATGAACWAKGGCCGTCCTTCCGGGACATGTTCACAGCCGTTTACATCAACCMCCCAAAATTATCTAATGCACAAAAATTGTATCACCTCAGATACAAAACCAAAGGTCAGGCAGGCGTAATAGTTAAACAGTTCGCTCTCAATGACGAAAGTTTTAATTTTGCTTGGGAAGCTCTAAAAGCACGTTACGAAAATGAGAGAATATTGGTCGACAAGCAAGTGACGATACTAATGAATTTAGCAAAAATTCAGGAAGAAACCAGTGAAGAATTCATAAAGCTTCAATCCACGGTTTCAAATTGTTTGTCGGTTTTATCGACACAAAATATTCCCACGGACCCCCTTCTGGTAAATATATGCACAGCCGCATTACCCGAAAAATCGTTACTTTTGTGGGAGCAATCGCTCTCATCGCGAAGAAAGTGGCCAACGTGTCAGCAAATGAAAGATTTTCTTACTACTCAATATGAAATTGTAGCAAGGGTAGATAAAAATATAGTAGGGTACTATTACCCACAGCAGYCGTCTCCATCGAACACCGAGGAGAACTGTTTAAACTCAGAGCCTTAATAGACCAAGGGTCACAACGATCATTTATAGCGTCTAAGGCACAACACAGGCTACAGTTGCCAACAAAACTGGCCAATTTTGAAATCACRGGAATGGGCGGAAGAGTTGTTCAAAACTCAAATAAAATCTGCCCCATTACCCTTTTTTCCCCCAAAGCGGCATACAAGCAGAAGCTATTGTCTTACCGCAATTAACCAATATGCTACCAAGCTATCACATAAATAGCAAGCATTGGCAAAAGGTTTCACACCTAAAGCTAGCAGACCCAAACTGCAATACCCCCGCTCAAATAGATCTTCTATTAGGCAGCGATCTCATACCACAGATAATACTCGAAGATATTGAGAAAATCACAAACACACTTCTGGGCAAAATACCATTTTCGGATGGGTCCTAAGTGGACTAGTTGCGGAACCAGTTACACCATTGACAATTCAAGTTGAGGAAGTCTCAAACGAGTACCTCAATTCACAATTGAAAAAATTTTGGGAATTAGAAGAACTCCCCCCCATATCAGTCACAACCAATGAAGATCAGTATTGTGAGGACTTTTACAAAGCCACAACTATTAGATCGGAAAATGGTCGGTACGTCGTACAACTCCATTTAAACAACAATTTCCTAACACRCTCGCCCTAGGTCACTCTCGCACCTCTGCAATACAGCAGTTTTTAAGTATGGAAAGAAACCTACTTAAAAAGGGTGAACTCAAATCTGAATATGATGGTGTGTTAGAAGAATACCTCCATTTAAATCATATGGAGGAAGTAAATCCAGGGGAGAAAATCGTCAACGGCAAATACTACTCCTTCTATCTGCCGCATCACGCAGTAGTAAAGACAAAAAAACCACAAAAGTAAGAGTTGTTTTTAATGATTTGAAAACCACCAGTTCAGGGAATTCCCTAAATGATATCTTATTTACGGGACCCACACTCCAACCAGATTTAATGCTTTTGATATTAAACCGGCGTATTTTCAAATACGTATTCAATGGGGACGTTGAAAAAATGTATCGGCAAATAGTCGTACATAAAGAGGACCAAGATTTTCCCCCACCAGTCCATTACGCGACTTCAAATTAAAGACAGTTACATTTGGCGTTAA